TAATTTAATATTCTCATGTCTACTCTGATTAACTTTTTTAAAAAAAACGAAGATTGGATGATGACGTAGTTAATAAAATTGAAGAGTCAGCACACAGTTTTCAACAACAGATAAAAATTTCAGAATTATCCTTGGTAATTAGACAACAGTTGCAACAGACAGATACAACAGAGACAATTAATCAGTTTTTGAATTCAGCTTTTTCTCAATATGATGTTGGTTTTTATGTTGGTAAAAGAACATCTGACGAAGAAAAGTAGACCATATTAACAAATAATTGGTGTCCGGATAAAAATTACTTTTTTCCAGTGGTTAATCAAGGTAAAACTACAAGACGTTTTAAGAATGCTTACCTGAGTGAATTCAGACCTTGGTTGGCATGGAGTCATATCCACCAAGGAGCGAATTGCATTTATTGTGTCTTTTTTACACCTAATGATGTTGGCAAAGGGAATCATATAACTCATGGAATATTCGTCACTAAACCATTGAACAATTATAAGAATGTGAAAACAGACCGCACTTCTCATGTTTCTAAAAAGTATCATCAGAACTGTGTAAAAATTTCAGAAGATATTTTGAGGCATTATGAGCAAAGATGTCAACAATGCGGAAAATGCGGTGATATATATATATATATATATTAGGATTTAGACCATATTCGATACAGTTTTTAAGAAAATCAACCGCGTTAATACAATTATTATATTTATACATTAATTTTTCAAGTTTTCTAATTAAAATTTTATTATAGATATTTAATTTATTAAGTAAAAAACTGAAATTATTATTGTTCATGTTTATTAAAATAAATAATTGCAGAAAGCTTTTTCGATATAAAATATATCATCGTCAGTGCAAAATATTTTAAATAATAACGAAAATTACCAGTTGATAAAAAAATGACGTCATACCGTATAACTTAATTTTAAGCGCGAAACATTTTTGAAAATACTATTATTAATTATTATATACTATATATTTAACATATTGATAAAATTAACTTAAAATTATTCACATAGATATATATTAGAATTAAACAAAATAAATTAAAATTTTAAAATTGCTGAAAAAACGACCATAAAGTAAATCAACAGATAAAAAACAAAAATCAGCCATATCATCATACTACAATATTCATGTTTCCAAGTTTATATTATTATCATTGTTATTGTTATTATCATTATTATTATTATTACTATTGTTGTTGTAGTTGTTGTTGTTGCTGTTGTTATTGTTGTTATTATCATTATTATTACTATTGTTGTTGTTATTGTTGCTGCTGCTGTTGTTATTGTTGTTGTTGCTGTTGTTGTTGTTGTTATTGATATATCTAATATATATATATATATATATATATATATATATATATATATATATGACTTTGAAAAGAATATATATATCTTCGTCACATTCGATGACCCGGAACAAGTCAACCAGCTATTAACAATCATGAACCGATCAAAATTGAATTTCGCCATCGAGCACAAAAGTGAAAATTCATTGCCATTTTTGGATGTTTTGGTAACGCCTGACAAAAAAAGATTTACAACTGCGAATGCACAGAACAATTCATAATATGTACAATAAAATCCTTTATGAATCGTGCATTCACACATTCATCCTCAACTCAGAATTGCAATACGGAATTGAAAATAATTACTAATCTACTAGTAAGCAACGGTTACAAAACATCATTCATTGAGAGCACCATTCAACAAAGCACTACTGAAAGATAGCAATATATTCAAGATCAACAACGACAACAACATAATCATATATTTCAGAAATCATATGTCAACGGCACAAAAAATAGACGAAGTCGTCTTCAAAACAAATTATAAAATAAAATGTTACACTAATCAATTGTACTAATAAATTAATACTCAGGATATACTACAGTTATTGTAAGACATTACAATTGGCCTTAAAGAACAACTGCACTCCTAAAGACGATTCTACTTTGAAGCGTAATACATAAATGCTCTATTGACGCTTGTGCGCGTCAACAACATTCGCATATTGGTGTTACAACCACAATCAAGACGTCTCACAATGAATACACAAAGAGGAGCCATCAAATCTCACTTGCAATCAACACATGCAACTCCAATAACCCGCTAATTTCTTGACAACAACACAAAAATAATTTATCCATGCACCAACAGGATACATCTAAAAATTGCAGAAGCTGTCGTAATATATATCAATAAACCCCAAATAAACATCCAACATAGAGGGATAACATTATTACCAACTCGACGCCTTAATAGAATATTAACTTCAATAAACATGGTGAATAAAGGAATGACAACAACAAAAATGTAAAATACGGCACCTACTAAGAACTTTGCTAAAGAATTTTGCTTTGTTTAAAAAAACTATATAAACCAAATCTGCACTGAAGATGATTTTTGAAAAGGCCTTATCTACATGATGAATTTGAATAACAATAATTTCATTAAATTTTTAAAATGAACTTGGAAGTCTAGTAAGGAAATTTGAAAAGACAAACTTTAAATTGATTAATACCAACTATTTGGAAAAATTCGTATAATACTGTACAAATTATGGTCTCCTTCCGATATATATATATATATATATATATATATAATATATATATATGTATTATATATATATTATATAATATATATAATAGATGTTTTCATTAATAGGCGTAAATAAATATAGCATGAACTATCAAATTTCACTACTAATGTTCAAATGCTGCCTGAACACAGCACACGTGGAGGAGTCGTTAAGCAGCATTCGTCATAAGCACATTCTTTGTAAACATTGTTATAGAGGGCCAGCAGAAAGAAAATCAATAACAGTCTCGTGCAAACAATGTAGACAAATAGTGATGCGGTTTTTTTCATATTCTTATTTATTTTTATTCTTCAAGATTTTGCAAGAATTACTAAATTGAAAATTAATTTTGAAGAAATATTCATATAACGGTTAACTACAAATGAATAACAAACAAAATAGTGATTGTAAAATTAACTTAAAATATAACTGAAAAATATGAACATTTGAATAAAAAAGCATCTCAATTCATCTAAAAAAATAATTAGAATTGCTGTAGCCATAATAAGCAAATTTAAAGAACGCACAAAATATAACAGTATATTCTTACATGCAATTGATGTCAGTTTCAATGGATTTGTGCCATGTATATACAACAACTATATGCATAATACATTGTTTTGTGAACAGTAAATAAACCAAATGCTTTCGTTAATTTTGAAAAAAAACGGTTTTATTAAATTTGCTTTAAATTTATTAAATAATTAATTACTAATAATAACGCAAAACTTACTGAAATGCGCCCGGAACTTGCATTTGCAAACTAAAAATTTTGAGTTATGTTTGCGATTTATTTAAAGATTTGCTGTTTCCAAGTTCATGTGGATATGCATTAGAGAAGCTGTTACAAATTTAGATTTAGCAATGGAAATGTTGAAATAATTAAATGAGGAAATGGGGAAAAGTTCATTATAATGATTATTATTGTGTTCCTGCCGTGAAATGAATGTGCGAGTCAGTGGGCGGCTAGAAATACAAAATTTTAAAGAGATCAATTTGGTAAATATTCATCAATTGCTGTGTGGAAAACATAAATAATGAAGGTTATGACGAGTTATCAGAAAATAATTTTTTTTTCTAAATATTATTTAAATTTTCCTAAATTTACATGATATGTCTGTGTGTGTATGCATAATTGTATATATGTATGTCTGTGTGTGTATGTAGGGTAACGTGGGGCAAAACGCCGCATGGGGTAAAAAGCCTAAATCCAGTTTGCACGAAATTTGTTTAAGACCGAAAGTTGTTCAATAAATTTTTTAAAATTATAACGTACCCTTATTATTTTGAATATAAAACCACGCCGTTTCTCCATTTGTTTTTTCTGTTTCAGAGTTTTATATAATTTGCGTGTGAAAAATTGGTCGTGTTATAAATTTTGTGTTCGGGTTTTTAATTAATTTCTTGATAATAAGATCGTTATTTGTAAAGAAAAGAAGTTTTTTATGAAGAAAAATCATTTTCACATATACAAAAGTAACTTTTAATCGGTTGGAACAATTTTTTGTATTTTTAAATTAAAGTTATTCTTAACATTGTCTATGGGGGTAAAACGCCTCTGTAACTTAGGGGCAAGAGGCCCAATTTATTGAACTATTTAAAAAATTTCAGATATTTGTATGTAGGCAGCTATCCTTGTAGTTAATTGTTAAAATGTATTAAAATTTACGTTTTATGTGTAAATTAATTTCATGTATTTTAATTTTTAAGGTATAAAATGGTCAGAAATTATGTAAGAAAATCTACAAGATGCTCGACTTATGATGGTGATGGTGAAAATTTGAAAAAAAGCATTGGATGCTCTAAGTCTAACCAATGGCTAGTTACTTAGTAAAGTTATTAGAGAATATGGAGTTCCTGCAAGAACTTTAAGAAGACATCAAAAGCCATAACAACATCTCCGGCAACTATAAAGCTTAGTCGGTTGTCAAGCGATCTAAAGATTTGACTCCTTGTGGGACATGTTCACAGGATTTCAATGAATAAAATGCCAAAAATGTAACATTTGGCATCATAATGCCTGTATAGGGCTAGAATAAGACCATCGTAGAACTTTTATTTGTATCAATTGGGACAATAATTAACAATAAAAAAAAAATTTTTATTTTCTTTTTATATAATTTTTATTTTATGTACAATAAAACTGTTAAAATTTTTTTAAATTTTCGGATTTGAAACTATTTTTAAGGCTTTATTTAATAGTTTTTCTACACAGGCCTTTTGCCCCATGCATGGGGCAAAAAGCCCATTTTATAGAGGTCTACGCTTTGTGTTATAAAACATAGGAAACTTATGTTTGAACAATTTAATTTGTAAAATTGGATAAAGGACATATCAATCTAGTAAAATAATCACTAATGTTGTAGAAATATTTCATTTTTTAGATGTAGTCACTCATCAAAGGCTTAACTATGGCTTCTTGCCCCACCCTACCCTATGTATACATGATCAATTGCAACTGTCAGCAATCATTTGAGTATTTTCAGCCACGGAAACACGACATACAAGACATGTGGCTCATTGCGAAGAAAAATTCCCTTCTGTCTCCGGATCTTGCATTTATAAGGTTGTAAATGTCTTTAAAAAATTTGGCTGTAACTTTGTCCATAAGACCAAAGAATTCAACACAAATTGGAAGGAATTCCATGTATGTATGTATGTATGTATGTATGTATGTATGTATGTATGTATGTATGTATGTATGTATGTATGTATGTATGTATGTATGTATGTATGTATGTATGTATGTATGTTAAAACCAAAACATGATGAGTGACACTGAACCGTCAAACATCAAGTAACAAATGGATTAACACTTTGATTTGTCGTTAATTGCACGTAATTGTATGTATGTATGTATGTATGTATGTATGTATGTATGTATGTATGTATGTATGGGAAGTTACGGTCCCTGGCACCCGAGGGTGCCAGGGACCGTAACATCCCACGCCAAACATCTGCCGGCTCTCCAAGGTATTAGCGTGCATCCGTCCGGGCGCCTACCATCATGCGCAAAAATGCCGGATGGTTCCTTGAGAACTGGGATTGAAGCCTTGGAGAAGAGCCGACAAATGTAATCGTTTAGCGCTGAGTGACGTAGTTGACGGCCCCCACCCAGGCGACAAACCAAACCGTGGTGCCCAAACTCGTCCGCCCCAGCGCCACATCGGCACGTGTATTTATTCTGAATGACCAGGCCAAGTCTGAAGCCAATGACAAATCTCACAGACTCGTCGTCAAGCCTGGTGCCCACAGAGGTATTAGGCCACGATCTCAACCACCCACAGCTGGCAACGCTGGACATGGCCAACAAACGAGCGGTGGAAAAGTCGTCGCCGCATGAAGACAACAAGTTTTGAAAGATTTTTTTATGTTCTTCGTTAAAAATTTGGACGTGCGTACGGTCCCCCGGGGCGGACACTGGGGGAAGAATATCGCGGCAACGAAAAAACCGGTGGAGCAGGGAAGACTGCAGGTCGAGAGTGGCAGCGGCAGAAGAATTATAAACAACGGGAGCCAGCTGAACCACGCTAAGTAACCCCAGCCCACCAAATGGCACCGGCAGCTGAGCCTGGGACCAACCACTGTCAGTCACTTGAACATTGCAAATCGACGACAGGGCGGTGCGCAGGGCTCCGTCAAATTTGCCCAATTTAGAAGGGTCAATGTGTTTAGATGTACGCAGGAAGTACATCAATTTGGGCAAACTGAGGGCATTGCGGATAATAGTCAAGGCATCATGGGCCGAAAGACAGGAAACACGACCCAGGGCGAATTTAAGCTCAGAGAGCTTATAGTCAAAAAACTTTATTTGATAATCGCCCTCGACCAAGGGTGTGCCTAAAAAACTCAGTTCTGATGCACCAACTCTGGGTATTTCAGCCAGCGCATGTGGCACCTAAAATAAACTTTGGCAGTGAAGTTCGCATTTTTTAATGTTTAACTCTAAGCCAATTGCAGGGGAGTTATGCTTCAAATATTCGTAGCTATCGGCCAGAGTTGGACCGTCCGAAGCTATGCTGATATCATCCAGATAAGCGCAAACGAAAGTGGACGAAGCTTTCTCTAAGAGTGGATGAAGAGTTAGTGCGAACAACAAAGGACCAAGGGGATCACCCTGCTGTATCCCCTCGGACAATTCTACAACCCAAGAGTGGTAGCCAAGGGAAGAGACTCCGCCATAGGCAGAATGGCAAAAATTATAGATATTGGGGCAAAAAAGTTTGACAGCCTCCAACATCGAGTCTCTTCTCAAGGCATTGAAGGCATTTTTAAAGTCCAGTTTCAGAAACCCCCATTGATCGGGGAGGTCGGTGACCAATCTTTGAACCGCATGAACAGCGGCCTCAGCGCCACCCTTAATCCCGACACCCAACTGAGTCGGGTAGAACTTGGTCTTGAGTTCGACCACGACCAGGGCCAAGGCACATTTGCCGGCCAACCTCCTCCAAACGTTCCCGACCGCAATCGGTCTGACCCCTCCGTCTTTCTAATTTAAAGCTATTAGCCGGCCTCCAAAAAAGAACCGGCGGACGGAGAGTGGGCAAGCTCCAGATAAGATCAAATTAATGAATTGGGTTAAGAAGTTCAATGTGTCGTCGATTGGCAAGGGGCCTGAAAAAACATCCTTAAGGTGCTGGGGTCGTAGGCCATCCAGGCCTCCAGAAGAACCGTTTTTGAACGATTTAACGGCCCTCAGCACCTCGGCGGGAGAAACGCAACCAGCCGTTGGTGTCAATGCGGGAAAGACCCGCCTGTCCACCGGAATTTTTGGGTGGATGGAACATAATTTATCAAAGGTGGCCGGCGAGCTCTTCGCCAGGCCCTCCGGCAAACAGACAATTCTGACAGCCGAGGACAGGTTTCCCTGTTCAATACAAGATGACACAGCGTTGATCCATCGATCGGGGTTGTGCTTTTGTGATTTGGCATTATTGAACCCATCAAAGCACAGTACCAGGGTTTCAAGACCAATAGTTGAATATTCGCTTAGACGCTTGTTGACCAGATTGCCCTGGTTGACCCGGCGACCCCGTAAGAAGTCTTCTGTAAG